CTTCTGTGGATTCTCTCTCAACCAGTGCTGCTACAGAGGATCATGTGTCCATGGGAGGATGGGCTGCAAGAAAAGCCTTGAGAGTTATTGAACATGTTGAACAAGGTAAAATTGAGACCTGATTGTACAGAGATCTTTTGTATCGTAACTGGATTAAAACTAAGAATGATTCCTTCTAAATGTCATTATTTTAAACAAGTAGACACTTTGGTAATGCCAAAAATGTTTTTAAGGTAAGTTCTTAAATAGTTAGTTCTACTCAAATCTCTTTCTAACAGATATGATTCAGGTGAATTGCATTGAAACAGAACTACTTAATAATATGACAGTCAGCCAAAATTTTTCCATTCTTCATTAATTAGAGATTAAAATGGTAAAAATTTTAGTTGTTGCTGGAAAGACCATTAACAAAATATAGCACAAAAACAGCATGTGTACCTTGGTTTATATAGGTTTACACCAATGGGTGCTTCAGCAGTCAGATTCTATAAAATACAAAATATTGTTTGTCATGCTCAGGAAAGTGAATGTGTAACTGAAGAATACAATGTTTCTTTGATAAGGTTTTCCTTAGATTAATTTGGCCCTTATGAATGTGAGGGATTCATGCCTCTAGTTAATCAGGTGAGACAAGGGCAGAGGCTGTGCAATTTTTTCCAGTACACATTTGTTTGAAAACTCTTTTCATGCTGCCAAAGAGCTCTGTGAAGTGGGCACAAAGGAACTCCAGACCTGAACCCCCAAGTTCCCTTGAGCGTTTTAAACCTGGATCTGACTTTTACAGCTTAGGCCCATCTCCATATTTCATCTGGCCTTAAGGCTGCCTCTGTTATTGGGTGTTGAAACAGAGATAATTTGAGAGGTATTTTTAGGAGCAGTAAGCATCTATCACAGCTAAGTACAAAAGGAACTGACTGCCTAGCACCTGGAAGAATCACACTTAACATCTCTGAGCATCCAAATAAGAGACTATTTAAAAGTGCTGGACTTTTGCCTCTGTTTTCCTGTTTGTAAATAGGCCTCTTATCTGGCTGCCTTCCCCAGTATGCCACATGGATCAATTAGTATTTGCATAGCACTGAAGAGGTGAGGGCCTAAGTATGATCAATAATCATACCACACTCCAATTAGAAATGTTCTTCAACTGTAAACTCGTAATGAATTGTACATCCTGAAAATCTCTGTCCTACCTTTCACTGTTTGGCTTCCTAGTGTTGGCAATTGAACTTCTTGCAGCCTGCCAGGGCATTGAGTTTCTACGCCCCTTGAAAACAACTACCCCATTGGAGAAAGTCTATAACCTTGTGCACTCTGTTGTAAGGTACCATCAAATAAATGTTTCCCAGAGGTTACAGTTTTGAAGCCCTGCTAACTTTGGTGGTGGTTAATGTTTGGCCAATGTTCTCAACTTGTCTCCTTTCAGGCCTTGGATGAAGGATCGCTTCATGGCTCCAGACATTGAGGTGACTCACAGGCTCCTTGTAGACCAAGAGGCATGTGTTGATATTCGGCATTTGTACAATAGAATTGATCCTTTAGGAAGGACCGTGCCATTTTCCCTTTAAAATGTCCCTCAGTGTTATCTTTCACAGAAAGAAGAGTATTCTTACCCTTCCATGTGCAGTTTTGTTACCAGATCTTCTGAAGAAAACATATGGAGATTGTTTGGGTTAGAGCAGTGATTTTCAACCACAGTGCCATAGCACCTGAGGGTGCTGAGAGATCCTTTTAAGGGAGACACAATTCCTCACAATATTAATAGTGCTAGGTGTGCCAATGGCTAATGGTGTTAGGATTGACAAGATCAACTCCAGTATTTTAAATAGGAATCTATAGTGTCAAAAACATTTTGGATCTGCTGTGGTCTTTCTGAGTTCTTTGCAACAGAAGAATTGCTTTATTATTTTTCAGTAGCCAAGAAAACAAGTGAACGAGTTGGCAAGTGAAAGAGGGTGCCTTGAATATAAAAAGATTGAGAACCACTGGCTTGAAGTTTTAAAGTGACACGTACATTTAAAATGATATATTAAGAAACACATTTCCTCAATTGTTTTCTTAAGAATTGCTTAGATAACAGAACTTTACAGATAAAGATCGAAACTCAGTTGTTAAACTTCCGGATGGCAGGTCCTACATCCATGCCAAACTCCACTGAAGACAGCAAGACTCTGGGTGTTGGTCAGGCAGAGCGGATCCACTCTCATTGTTTATATATGAATATCTCTACTGGCTTTCCACTGTGTAATTTAAGTCTTCATGGTTCTATTAAAATTTTGTATACCATATTTATTTTCATACAATACACACTTTTACCATCAAAAATTAGCCTTCCAAAACTGGGGTGCGTGTCTTAAGGTGAGAAGTTGATTTTTTTGCCCAGTGGCATTTCCATTCAGGCATACTGGGGTGGGGGAGTCAGTTGACTTCATGGCTTATTCGAATCTACTTGATTCCAGCTAATTTGCTATTTGCTTAGTAGGTATTAATGAGCCTTCTCCTTTTTTAGGATCTTGATGTTTCACTAATCAAGCTAGCTTTTCTCAGCTTAGTTTAGTTTAGCTATTCTTGGTCTATCTTCTCCTGTTTCACAGCCATGCAGACTTTTTAGCTTTTTTCAAAAACTTGTACCTGTCCAGTACAGAGCCTATTAATTGATAGCCTGCCTTCTCCCCTGCCTGGGAAAGGGGGCAAGTTGTCAAGTGGCAGTTGGCAGCCTCTGAAAAGCAGAGGCCCCCTCTCAATCCTGCCCATCAGCTGATTAGCAGGAGGGGTGCATTATTCCACGATGGAAATCTTCCCAGTTCACCCCACATGAGAAAAGCCCTGCTTCTTACACTCCTCTGGGCTGACCTGAAGGTGTGCAGGGAGAAGGGAGGAGCACTCCACCACCCTATAGAAGTCGTAAGCATACAGGCATTCACACAGAGATTTTCTTGGAACAAAAATAGTGGTTCCCAGCAGAGGTCACTCATAAGAGAGTTTCTCCTGGGAGAACAAATGCTTTTACACTTCCCTGGTGCCGAACTCCTCCTGGGGACAGGGAATTGAGCTGTGGGAAGATGCTTCCCAAGCCTTCCCCAGATTGGGGTCATTCTGGTCTGGAGGAGGTGTAGGAGGAATGCTGCTCCTGCCCCAGCCATAGACCAGAAAGGGAAGAGCAGCTGCTTCTTGCTCTCTGTCTCCTCCTCAAACAAGGGTCTGGGGCTTTGTCCCACTGCTCCAGCCTCCCCAGGACTGGAATTGGAGCAATTGCTGCTGCTTCCCATACTTTTCGTAGGCCAGGATCACCCAGTCTTGGGAAGGCACGAAGAGCAGAGGAGAGAGGGCAGTTTCAGGCTAAATACCTGTACTGTTCCCTCCCTCAGAAACATTGTTAGTGGTAGAAAATTTCTATTGCTGGAAATAAATGTCTGTTTGTGGCCATAACGTGTGGCATAAATGTATTGGTACAACCTAGCTCCTTCCTTCAAGGTGAAGCTATTCCCCTGTGCTCTCTTTGCAGGGCAGAGAATTTGCTCTAGCAGGTACCTACGGCAGTGTGTTAGGTGGTCCTACTACGTTCTAGCGCAGCGGTGGGAATTATTTCAGCTGGAGGGCTGGCCGCTTAATGAATTTTGGTGAGCTGTCCAGGGGTGCAAGGGTAGCCCTGCCCCTTGACAGGTGCTCTGCCCCTGGTTGCCATCTTGGGACTGGAAGTCCTGCCCCTAACATCTCCCAGAAACACTCCTTTTGGGAGGGGAGGGTTGTCATCTTGGAACCAGAAGAAAACCAAGTCAGATACTAAAATTTAAACACCTTACTATAACATATTCTAATTTTATTACAAAAAATATTTTTGGCATGATTTGTGTTTGCATAGTGTATATAGAGATGATTGTATAATAACTCAAACATAAAGTCTTACTCTTGTATATTGTGTGCAATAGAGGGGGGCCAGCGTGGCTGCACTGCTTGCCCCCATGTGCAGTGCTGGTCGGAGCCGCATGCTGCTGGTGGCAGCACTTGCACTGGGCACAAACACCCCTGCCTGCTGCTTCCACCAGCAGGGGCTGTGTGCCATGGAGGGATGGTGTGTCTGGGGGGTCCCCACACTCCCTCAAATCCACACCCCGCCCACCTGAGCTCCATGCCTCCGCCGCCCTCCTGGGCACAGACTCTGCACTGCCACCAGCCCCAGTCCCACGCTCTGCGCTGCTGCCCAACTGCGCAATAGGGTATGTTTGACAGGAGGTGTAAATGTGGGCACCTTGCTCCCACCCTTGTGGGCAGAAGGGCTGAGTGGGGTACACTTAGTTGGTAGGCACCTGTGGACCGAATAAAATTGCCTGGCGGGCTGGATTCGGCTCACGGACTGTATTTTCCCTGCCCTTGTTCTAGCCCCTTTAGTGCAGGAAAACCTATTGCTCAATATCTCTCACTGGGGAAAAGGCTCACCATCCCAAAGTATCATTCATAGTGGGAGTTCTGGGATGGAGCTCTCATCATGTAATTCCTATGCAAGGGACTCACCTGGTTGGGATTCCCCATATCTCCAAATGCAATTATTTATATACTTGGTGCCTTTTAAAAGTATTATATTTCAGTCTTCCCTTTGGATCTACCTATATCTATTTTCAAGTTTGTCTATTATAAGCAGAGATCCTGGTTTTCTCTGATTAAAAAAAAAAAAAAATCCCAAATTTTGGATCCAAAAACATAACCCCAAATCCACATTTTTCCATGATTGAAATAAAACACCACTAATATATAGATGTATAGATAGCGGTGTTTCATTTTAATCCTGGAAAAATGTGGAATTTGGGTTCCTTTTTTTCATCAGAAAATTGGGGATTTTTTTTAAACCAGCGAGAACCAGGATCCTTGATTATGAGGCAGTGAAAAATGCTACTTTTATTGGAAAGTGTTATGTGTAGAATTTGTGTTGGAAAAAAATCTCCCCTCTCAACCATCCTGCAGATGCTGAAAATCAAAGGTCTTTTCTTATCTAGTTCATTTGCACAGACGGATGTTTGGGGGTGGATTTTTGCCTTTTTGCCTGATTGGAGCATTGGGATCCTGTCAGGTGTTCTGCTTTTCAGGCTAAAATGCATAGTGAAGACAGCTGCTTGATATTGGAGCTGTTCTCAGTGGAGGGGCAAAAAGAGACAGAGGCTAAGTATGCCACGGTACACAGTGCATGTCCGAGGGGAATGGCTGGCAGTGCCTTGCCAAGCTGGTACTAACACGATCAGATGGCTGGGAGAGGAAGCTGTGAGACGTTACATGAAAAACAAGCCTGATAATGGGGGCTTTGCCTCTGTAGAAGCAGTAAATTTTTTTGTTCGGAGATGTAAAGGCCGTGGCTTGTTGGATCATGATGATGCCGTGGAGGGTGTCCTAGAGGACAATGAGTTTGTTGAAGTTGGTAAGCAACCCCAAAATGTTTAACTACGCAGCAGCTGTGCTTGCATAGGAGTCGGTAAAGTGTGTGTATTTATCTGAAAAGTTCTACTGTATTTCTGTGGTAAACCAAGTTTAAGTCTGGTGGGAAAATACTATATGCAATCCCAGTTTAGAGAGCCAGGTTTTAAATTCTACAGCGTGCCCCATCTGGTTAGGTGGATTAGGGGTTGAGTGTTCAATATGGCTTGGATTTTTTTAGATGTTTTCTAGAGTTTCTGTGTGCGCAAACTATGAGCACATTTAATGAGTTTTCTTAAAAGCATACAAAGGTATCTGGGTGGCTATAAGTTTAATATTCTTAATGGTTTATTATGACTAATAACAGAATGTTCCCATCTGGCAGCACAGAACTGGAGAGTGTTTTCATTCTATTTGTATCTTATGTTTTTCCTTCTAGTTATTGAGGGAGATGCAATGTCTCCAGATTATATTCCATCTCAGCCGGATGAAATTTATACGTATCCTTTACTAAGATTTATTTTTTTCATCTTGCAATTGTCACATGCACAAAAATAGAAACACTGTTCTTAGAAACTAGTCGTTTCTTAGGCTTATGCGTCCCTTATTTTCCTTTATGCATCTTCAGATATAGCAAATACCGAGAACCAGGAAAGGTAGGAATCAATAGTATTCTTATTAAAAAATGCTCATATTCTAGTAGTTTGTTGTTGGTTTGGTTTTTGTGTTTTTGTTTTTGTTTTTTTGGGGGGAAAGGGGGTTCAAAAAGGAAGTGAAGTGAAATCCTCTGAACAGTGACGACCTGATTGCTTTTTTGCCCTGTCAGTGTTCAAAGAAAATACAGTGTCTTTATTTGTCTATGGGGAAGAAAGACACAGACCCCACAAGATATTTCAGATTGCTTGGCTTGTTTGTAATATGAACTACATTAGCTTTCAAAGGACTCGGTCAGTTCTACAAACATTAATTATCAAGCATTATGGTAATTACTACAGGGAACAGTTTTCACCAACAGTACAGCAGAAGCATTTTGCTCAGCAGTAAACTGCTGCAAAGATCACCTGTGACTGTTTAATGCACAGTGTCAACCATTTGTATTTTGCTGGTATTTTTTATTAGCATTGTTGTTATGTGAGATTGTGGGTAAGCTCCGTATCAGAAAAAGCTCACTCTTGAGTTTTCGTTTAGAAACTTCATATACACACATCTCTAAGAAATGTCTGTTGTGTAGTATATTTCTTTAGATGGAGACAATTTGACAACAGAAGACTTGGTCAGTTTGGGGAAGGGGCTCTACAAGATCAAGGTAAAGGATTTGAAAAGAATCTGACTTTTGTATGTTTTTGTTTATTCTTGTGCGATTTTTAAGTAGAGGAATAAATAAATGGTGACTGTTTTTCCTAGCTCACACCTCGAGCTGAAGCTAAAGTCAGACAATCAAGAGAGGTTATTGAAAGCATTGTAAAAGAACAGACAGGTATTTGCACTCCCCCCCCCCCCCCCCCCCCTCACTTTTTTTTGTCTCTTTTCCCCCTAATCATTAATTTTGTGTCAGTTTAAATGACTCTGAGTCCTGTTCCTTCTCTGTAACATCTGTTTCAGTTGTTTATGGAATCACTACTGGCTTTGGGAAGTTTGCCCGGACTGTCATTCCAAACAGTAAGCTCAAGTACGTTGTCCATACTTCCTTATTTATTTAAGAAAATGTCTGGAAAAGACCTCTGGATCATTTCAACAGTTTATTTTTAAACATTGCCTCTTGTTTGTTTTTTAAATGTTTTTTTTTCTTTGTAGGGAACTCCAAGTGAATTTAGTTCGCTCCCATTCTGCAGGTAGTAATAACATTGATTTTGATAGTTTCCTCATCTATAGTGTTATCACAGAGGTTTATAACCTGGAGGTCATTGCTGTCATTGCAGGTGTTGGGAAGCCTTTGAGCCCAGAGAGATCTCGCATGCTTTTGGCTCTAAGGATCAATGTCCTAGCAAAAGGATACAGTGGGATATCCCTGGAAACTCTGCAGCAAGTTATTGATGCATTTAATGGTAAAAGGCTGTTTAGAAATGTAATACAACCATTGCTTTATTATTTATGTGAAGGTTGTAGCAAGAGAAACCAACAAACATTGTAGCCCCTTTGTAGTAGACAGTGCATAAGCTCAGTTAGAGACAGTCCATTACATTTGTGAGTAGGTCGCAGAGGCAAAGGGTGGGAGAAAAGCATGCAGGGAACAGGGTATTGGGAGCTGAAGCTTGGAGGCTCTGGATAACCTCCCTGCCCAAGATATACGAGGAAGTCTGCTGCAGAACCATAGGCTGAATCGTAGTCCAGTCTCTCAAACACTAGCTCAGTCCCTGTGTGCTCTAAAAGTAGACTTACAAATGTCGGAGGGGACAGGAGTATCTAGTGGTGGCATGTCCCAGAGGAGCTAATTTGCTATGGAGACGGGGACTGGAAGAGCGAAAAAATGGGACCAATGTGATGTTTAGGGGCAACACTCATTCCCCAGTGCTTCCCTTCTTCCACAAAGGGAGAATAGTTCCAGTTATCACCAGTTCCATCACTATGGCTATTTCAACTTAGTTTTCACCTTTGTTTTTCTCCTATAGCAGTGGAGCTGGTCTGACATGGAGCTCTGCCTTTTTCAGGTTATGTTTGGATTGGAAAGTTCACACCTATTGGAAAAGTGGCGAAGGAGCCTGGACTATATATAGCATAACACACCATTGTTAGCAGCCAACAGTGACTTTGGGTATCCAACTTGAGATATCTGCTAAGCGGTCTGAGTTTCTTGTTAGTGCTGAGGACCAGCCCTCTGAAAATCAGAGTTCTTTTATTCCCTCAAGTAGGGAATAAAAGAACCTGTAAGTGAGGTGAACATCCCTAGTGGTGTGTGAAATCTTGGTTGCTACAGCAATAGCAAATGGAAATGCTATTGTTGTAAAAGGCATATGTGCCTGTCCATTGCAACTCACTATGTACAGGGATTTTTAAAACCTTTCGACATCAAACAGTTTGGGGGTAAAACTTAGCATATACGTTTCTGTCCCAAGGATGAGATTTTTTTTTTTATCATACATTTTGAAGCTGTAGCATTTAAAAAGTGTAATGATTGGGTTTCCTGTTGGTTTATAACTGACAAGGAGTCTTATTCCAAGGGAGAAAGACCAGATGGATTGCCCTCGGAAATTAACTTTCTAAAAAACGTGATGCTCACTGATCTTGGGGTTTTGTTTGGGGTTGTGTTTTTTTAATTAAAACCATCTAACAGTACTTCTGTGTGCATGTATGTGAACGTGTGCCTACAGTGTGGTGGCTGATACCTCAGTCTTGCCACTACAGCAATAAGGTCCACTTACATAAACATCTGAAATGAGGTGGTGAGGATACTCTGGGGGGTTGCCTCAGGACCCTGTTTTAATGGCCAAGGTTTCACCATGGGTGCACAAATAGCTACTAACAAGCCTTTGCTGAAGAGTAGGGGGATGCCTTGTGGGAGAGATGTGAAAACTAAGAGGAGTAAGATGGTAGCATAGAAGGTCTATCAAAAGAACACGGTTAGGCTTTCAGCAATACATGGCCAGTTTAAAGATGAGTGGGGATGTCATTTGATTTCATTTTCCTAAAGAGGATTCAGCTCTCAAAAATATGATAAGTACTCCCCTGGTGTGTGTGTGTGTGTATGTACATGTGTACATACACACACTATAATTATAATACCATCTCCAAAGGTTGATTGAGATCAGCTACAGTGGCCTATTGGCTCATTCTTGCCTTGTCTGAGGGTTAAAAAAATGCTCCATGCTGCAAAACCTGTAATAGGGAGCTGGGTAGATAGTCACAGCCTTCAGGGACTGAAGCTCCATCCCAGATTTGTTCAGACAAGTACATGATGCCAGTATGATCTGTATTTGGACTGAAATTTCCAGTGACTTAATCAAAGCCATGTAGTATTTGAGTGAGTTCCAGTTTTTAAAGGATTCCCTTAGGATGAGCCCTTTAACATGATTAAAATAAAAATGTGTCTTTTCTGTTAGTCCCCACCCCATAATTTGGAGATGCTGTGACCTATCTGATGTTTTTCCATTCCATATAGAGCTGGGCTTTCAACCTTAACTCTTGGCTTCTTGTGTTTTTATGGGATTAAGGTACTTTAAAAATCAAAACTGTAATAGGTTTGCTGAATAAATCCCAGTTGTGTTTTTTCTAAACCACAGCTATTTTATGGAACTGCAAACAAATCCCAGTTTGCTCTGGAAGAGAAGAATGGTCAAAGTTTTTTATTTAATTGGTCCATATTTCAGTATGCAACTACAAGGTTACCTGGGGAGGATTCTTCCACTTGTGTCTTTGTTTTCAAGAGATGATGGATGGCAGCTCTAACAAAAAATGGATTTCTGTTTTCTCCTTAGCATCTTGCCTGCCTTATATACCCGAGAAAGGAACAGTTGGAGCCAGTGGAGACTTAGCCCCACTTTCTCATCTTGCCCTGGGGTTAATAGGAGAAGGAAAGATGTGGTCCCCAAAGAGTGGCTGGGCTGATGCTAAATATGTAAGATATTGGTGATCAGTACACTTCACCTGTTTCCTTCCATTGGCTTTGGTTAAATAATGGGTATTGTGGGAGGATAGGAGAGAATTTCTGATCAAAAACCACACTATATTCAAAACATTTAAAATCTTGTGTATTTTGTGCACTTCTGACTTATGATTGAAGTATTTGTTTCTGCAATGGACATTGACTTTTAGGGCTGCTGCCAACATTAGTTTGCTGTACAGGACTAATACTATGGAGAAAGGTAAAACATAATAACAGAATATGCAAACTCATGCATCCTGGATTTGCCACCTTGGGTATTATGTTAATGCCTTCCGATACATGATCTTTTGATACGCAGAAGAACTATGATGCAAGATACTACAGGTACTAGGACCCGGTGTGGTGAAGTGGGAGTCCCTGGCTAGCCACAGGGCTAGCTTCCCACCTGGCTCTGGGCACACCGCCCACCTATCTCGTCTGCCATGCCTTGTTGGTAATTAATTAAGTTGTTTGTTAAGGTGGGAGACTGTCCATTGTACACCCTGATACTGGTGGGCTATCCTTGGGTCCGTTCCACTCCTATACCGTGGCCCAAGCCTTGCGGATGGCATCTCAGGCAGTTAGCTCAACCGTCGCCTTCGCCCATAAGCTCTAGCCCCCAACCCTGGGGACCTTCAGCTTCCGTAAGCTCTGGCCCCGTCTCAGGCCCAGTCAGGACCCCAAGCTTCTTAGCTCTTTGTGGGCGTCTCATGGTGGGCCTCTGGCCCTTTTGACCCTTTGGTCCTGGCTCCAGCATTTACCAGTTGAGTACCTCAGCAGGGTTTTCGCCTCCTGCCTGCACTTATGGGTTGGGGTCCCCCATTCCCAGCTCATGTGCTCCAAAAGCGTGCCTGGCCCCCAGCAGGCTCAGGCGACTCCAGAAGCTTACCTGGCATACTCTAGTCTGACGTTACAAGTAGCCCACCTGAAGGTGAGGGCTGGGGTTAAGGCGCTGCTACTCGCCTTTCACTGGGGCGATAACTGGCCTGGCATTTCCTGGGGGGTCCCATGCCACTGAGAGCCCCACCAGGCCACCCACTCCCGGCAGGGTGCAGTTTTAGGTCATGCCCAGGACCAGGAGCCTCCAAACCATCCCCTACAGCTCCTGCCCTTACCTCCAGGATGTTGCATGGAGCCTTGCAGCTAAGCAATGTTACTGCCTGCTCCCAGCAGCAAATTACCCTGTTTATATAGGCAGCCATGGATCTAAAATGGCTGCTGCAATTAAGCAACTGCTGGTTGCTGGTTCGGCCCTTGAAGTGGCAGGTACCAACAGTGTTCTGCCATACCTGGGTAGAAAGATAAGATATAATGTTACATTAGCAAAATTTCTGAAGCTAATGAATCCGCCATCTTAAAAACATCAGCTTTGTCCCACCACACCTGAGATGATTCCTCAAGAGAAAGGATTATTGGTGTGGTTTCCAAGTAAGTAAAGACTCCAAGGTGACTCCAGACCTGAGGAAAGAGGTGTTGCTAAGATTTCTTCCAAGATTATAATGGTGTTAAGTAGATAAATTTCAGTAAATACATGACTTAAATGTATATTGTTTTCAGTGGATTAATTTGAGTTGAAAGGAATACTTTCAGAATTATGAAGCCCATTCAGCTGCATTATGAAAATCTATTTTTAAAAATTGTATTCCATCACTGCCATGATAGATCAGTGCTTTGATCCATCCATGAATATCCAAAAAGACAGGGATTTCTAAATCTTTTTCTGTTCTTTACTGGCTAGTACTTTTATGGCTTCATCGATAGTTGAAGTAGAACAGGGCACTTCCCCCAAATCTGCTGATTCCCCATCCAGTAAATTAACCCTAGACTGTCCTTTCTTATTTCAGTGTCCTGGCTGCTTCTGCATCTTTTGTGAGAAGCTGTGCAGTCTCTCTTGTGTTGTTACTTCTTATCTTCTCCCAGTCTTTCACAGGTTTTGTTCTTTCAGTTGAGGGGATTTGGATAGGATTCTGATTGCATTTAAAGCAAGACTGTTCCCTAATTTTCTGTAAGAGTTTTTTTCAGGATGTGGAATAACATCATTACTCCTTCATGGGCTTGGACAGCAAACTTTCCAAAGCACTTCCAGACTTTTCTGACTGGGGAATGAGAGTACTGGACAGGACTCTACATTGACCAATAGCTTAAATGTCTATATGCCAAAAATTCCCCTTTTCCTTTCTTGTGCAGTATTGTAATCTGTTCATTAACAAAGCCAAGCCGAAAGTTGAACTGTTTTGCTGATTTCATGCAACCAAATACTTGAAATGCATTTGTATTAAATCTTTAATAAACTACTTTACAGGTGTTGGAAGCCCATGGTCTGAAGCCAATTACCTTGAAACCAAAGGAGGTAAGAAAAAAATGTACTGCTGCCAACTGGTGACAACCCAACCTACCTAATCAGTTGTTGCTTCATGTTTATGATGCCTATATTTTAAAACTGAGTTGAATTAATGATTATTTTAAATCAAGTTTTAGAAGGGAATTACATATTGGGCATGGGGAAACATACCAGAGACCTCATTCTGGGATAAAAGCTATATCCTGCCTATATGTTAAGGTTGCACTGTTGGAACTCTGTCCTTCTATCGGTGGTAAATGCCATTCATCCACACAAACCTGATGAAGAATGCTTTGCATTCAGAAGCTTGTCCAGCTTTATCCCAAACATGCAGTTTGTCCTATAAAAGATATCACCCAAAATATTCTTTCTGCTCACATCATTTCTGGACTATCACAGCTACAGTATCGCTTCATCCACATGCACATTTTCCATTGTCAGTGATTCCTGGGATAGCCATCAATGGAAGTTACTCTAACTCTCACTGATACAGACTGACTCTAGTCAGGAGCTAAAGTGGTATAATACTAGTGTGTACACATCCCATTTTCATAGCTACTATAAAGCAGTGCAAACCATCCTCTCGCTGTTATTCCACACAGCACCAGACTCTGCAGAACTGACCTATCTGGTCACTCTTTTAAATTTCACTGCTTTGGAGTCATCTCAGCCATCTATTACCAGAAATATAGGATTTTTAGATGGATTTTTGCTGCCGTGAATATAAATATATGTTTAAATTTTAGATGATGTATTATGGGGGCCAGAAGATATTTTGATTTGGTAGCTGATAAAAAGAAACATATTTGTGACTTGAAAAACACACATTTTAAAGATGTTCACGTGCACTAGCCAGCATTTGCACGGTACAGATATTTACTGGCGTGAACGTATGAATCTGTTTACTCCATAAAACCCACAGTGATAAAATCTTACTAGGCATCTAAGCATAAACTTTTGTGTGCATATGTGATACTCTTGCTCTAACAGTAGAGCATAGTCATTGTGTAAAGCTCACCGTACCTGCAGCAAGAGTTCTAATCTAATGTCCACTAAAGCTAGTGGGAGGTCTCCCATGATCTTCCTAGGCCTAGTGGTTGATGCATACCTAATTTTTAAAAATTGCTATGGTTCAAGCAATTGGTGGCTTATCTATAATAAAAATTAGCAGAGACCTGAGATAATTAGCATCTGTGTACCTTTTCTGATTCCGCTTAGGACAATTTAGGAAATTGAGAAAAAGCCTTTCTTTCACTGGCACAGGGCATGAGAATTAAAGTAACAAACTGCAATGGGCTTCCTTCAAATAAAAGCCTGCTGTCTTTTTGAAGGGTCTGGCTCTTATCAATGGAACACAGATGATCACCTCTCTGGGATGTGAAGCAGTTGAAAGAGCCAGTGCTATTGCTAGACAAGCTGACATAGTGGCTGCGCTTACACTTGAGGTCCTGAAGGGTACAACTAAAGCCTTTGATACTGGTTGGTACTGAATTTTTAATGTACTTCATTTCCTGAATGTTCATTTGCTCCTGTTGGCAGCAGTTAGTGAAGAGAAGGCTAGAGGGTAAAGATCACTTTTGTTCTAATAGATATTCATTCAGTGCGTCCACATCGGGGGCAGATGGAGGTGGCTTTCCGATTTAGATCGCTTTTGGATTCGGATCACCATCCATCAGAAATAGCAGGTGATTAAGCTTTCTTTCCTGCCTGGCAAGATGACTGTTTGATGTATAGGGCAGTCTGAGGACTTTCAATGATGCATGTAATTTTTTAATTCAAGAACTCTTTTTTTTTTTTTTTTGCGAGAGTCACACATTTTTTGCAAGAGTCCAGGATGCATATACAATGCGCTGTTGTCCTCAGGTAAAAAGTAATTTTCCCCTCCCTCATGCAAGGATAGGCCAATGATGCTGAAATCCCAATTTCAGTTTAATATCAATTATGTGTTGATGTAATTTTTTAATTCAAGAACTCTTTTTTTTTTTTTTTGCAGAGAGTCACAGATTTTGTGACAGAGTCCAGGATGCATATACAATGCGCTGTTGTCCTCAGGTAAAAAGTAATTTTCCCCTCCCTCATGCAAGGATAGGCCAATGATGCTGAAATCCCAATTTCAGTTTAATATCAATTATGTGTTGGCCAACTCCTTTAAATTACGTTATCTTATGGTTCTCTCCAACACGTGTAGATCTTGTGCTGGGTCCATGTTCAGAAATGAATTCCATATGTGATGAACTCTGTCCGGCGCTATTAAAACAAAACTCTTCAGACAGTCAGTCATGGGAATCAGAAGGAGTTAAACAATGCTAAGATTTCTAAGACAAGGGGTTTTCTAAGTTTAACTCCCTAAGAACATTTACTGCACTACAGTCTATTGGCTAAACTTTAATTACCATTTATTTTCACTAAGAAGATGTTGTTATAGCTAAGGAGAAAACTAATGCCCACAGGTGAAGCAGATACATTTGTATCATCATCATCATCGTATTAAGTCAGCTCTGAAGACTATAGTATGTCCAGCATCCCCAAGTTTTCATGAAAACGAAAATCCTTAGCCGTCTAGAGGGGCAGAGTCTGAGCACCATAAAGCATGGGTGCGCTGCTAAACCATGGAGTTACTGAAGGTCAGCATCCTGAAGATGAGTCCACGTAGAAATGACCTCTTGTTTCTTTTAGGTCCATGGTGTGGTGAATGATACAATAGCTTTTGTAAAGGGCATAATCACAACTGAAATTAATAGCGCAACAGACAATCCTGTATCCTTCCATTTGTTTGGTTTTTTTATAAAATTTTGTTTGGTTCCTTTTTTTCTTCCTTCTAAATAAATATTTGCGAACAAGGTAGTAAATTCACTGTAGACCTTCCAGTCCAGTGGGCCGCCAAGGTTGCCAACAGCCCACATATCTGGTATAAATATGGTGGCCCTGAAGTAGCAAATCACTTAGTCAGTGGGACTACCTACGCTTTAAAGCAGGAGTGTCAAACTCATCTGGCCTCATGGGTCCATGGTCCTCAGGGGCCAGATGATAGGGGTGTGCAAAGCGGGCCCTATTCAATTTGGATTCGGATTTGGCCTTTATTAGGAACAGTGATTCAGTTTGTTGATTTGGATCACTGTCCCTGATTCGATTCGGCTGAATCCAAATCTAAAGATTCGATGCTGATTCAGAGAAGTTTTTTCTACAAAGCTTGAGGTAGCAGGCGTGACTCATGATTTTTGCGATGCTGGGGTGCATGGAGTGTCTCACAGGCATGCAGAGGGGGGCGCCCTCCATGTACTTGGCAGACGGGTCTGTCGGGGAGTGCGCAGGGAGCTCCCCCCATGTCCCTCCGGCTCAGCGATCGGCCACAGTGGGACCCCAGGTGCCCCTCCAGGCCCAGGAGGCAAGCTGGGTGGGTGCAGGGGTGCAGGGGAGCCTCCAGGCCCAGGAGGCAAGCTAGGTGTGTGCTCCCCCAGCAGACCCAGAAATGGGTCTGGGGGGAGCACATGAACCCCCCCCGTGGTCATGTGGGATGTTCCATGCGCCCCAGCATCACAACACTCATGAGCCCCTGCTACCTAGAGGTTTGTAGAAAAAAAATTTAAAGCTGTGTCTATATCCGAATCTCCAAATCTCTCCGAATCAATTTGGAGGGTTCCAATTTGATTCGGAGAGATTAAAGGGTCCTCTGATTTGATTCAGATTCAGAGATTTGGCCACCAAATCAGGCCAAATCTCTTTTGAATCAAATTAGGGACTGAAGCTTTGCGCAGCTCTACTAGATGAGTGCCACGGGGCTGGTGCGTGTGCTGGATCAGGCTCATGGACCCCATACCTGCATGCCTGATCCAGTGTAGGGTGCATCTGGGATGCCAGCCCAACCAAGTGCCATGGGCAGCACAGCCTGGGCCTCAGCCTGAGCAAATGTCATGGGCAACTCAGTCCAAGACGGGCCCCAGCCAGCGCTATGGGCTGGGGTGGACTCAGGATGGGCAGAGTGATGCAGTTGCACCCCACTTTGATTCTTGTTTCACCCAGAGTTTAAAACTAACTGCCTGGCAATGGCAGTAGTAATGAAGACCACTGAGGTCCTGGCTCATTATAATACACGTGATTCCTTCTAAGCTCTTCATTCCACAGGTGTTAACAACCCTCTCTTCCTCTTAATAGTCTTGAGTGGTTCCACTAATCAAGCTAGCCTTTGCTCTGCAATTCTGCTGTCTGTTTGCTGCTCCCTGTAAAGTAGCTTCTATTTCAGAGCCTTGCTTTTAACTCTGGCCTGTGGGCCGGAGGTTCAGCACATCTGGGTTAGACGAGCATTGGTCGGTAATTGTTTAGATCCTGTGGATCCTTCTTTGCCTCCGGGCAAAGAAATGGATTCAGTCACTCTCAAGGTCTCTTCCTGTCCCATTTTCTATGATCCTGTCTCATCCATTTTATAAAAGACTCTCTTAAGCGGTATCTCTTTAATGAAAAAGTTGGGGTCTGGGTTTGGAGTTTGGGGTTTTTTAGCATTTTCTGAAAAGTGAATGTGCAGGTGTGATAGTGTGTGTGTGTGTGTGTGTGTGTGTGTGTGTGTGTGTGTGTGTAAAAAGCACCTATTCTTTCTTCATTCAAGTAGGGTATTCATATTCTTCAGAGATATATGTACTTATGAAATGCTTTATTCATGTTTGCACCTTAACTTAGTTTTAAAGATGGTTTTTGCTGACAGGGGAGAGACTGTTTCTGGGGGAAATTTTCATGGTGAATACCCTGCAAAGGTAATTAAGCATTTGTTTGAATGTTATTTTCAGATTTGTTTTTTAAATAGTTGATTAAATAGAGCACGGTTTTCTCCTAGGCTCTGGACTACCTGGCGATCGGTGTTCATGAACTAGCTGCAATTAGTGAAAGGAGAATTGAAAGACTCTGCAACCCCTCACTCAGTGAGCTGCCTGCCTTTCTTGTCACTGAAGGTGGTCTGAACTCTGGTTTCATGATTGCACACTGCACAGCTGCAGCCCTGGGTGAGTTCATTAAAGGCTTAAGCAGTATTGACAAGGGGGCAAATTAGAAAGTTCATTTTACCTTGGGGACTGAGTTAGTGGGGATGTCCCTATGAAGCAAGGGGCAGATCCTTTGTGGGCTTGACGCATACAGCCTTTGGGCTGTATCCATCTTGGGGAGGTGGGTCATCAGGTCTGCATGGTTTCTCTGTGGCCAGAGGACTTGTATCAGGATCTGCCCCATAGGGCTCCTCACTGTTTCTCTGAGAGCTGTCGTGCTGTCATGGCCAGCACTCATGGAGTTTCTGCTCCTTACCTGCCATCCAATTTTTGCTTTTTGAATTGTCGTTTGGTGCACAAATCAGCAGCAGAGTGGTGATGTTAGCTCCTACATACTGGCCATGCTGACACAGTAGTTCTGGCAGCTGTGTGAAGAATCTCTGTGGACTGTATTTGGAGGTAGGTTATCCAGATCTGACACACCAACTCATTTAAGTTTGTTACCCATGCTTTACAGTAGGGGTGTCAAGGATATAGGCTGGATCCAGCCTGTAGTGCTGTATCATCTGGCCTCTAGTGCTGACTGAGGGTCTTGGACTGAACCCACATGCTATGTAAGACGTGTCAGACTGGCCGTATGCGTGCATGAGAGACTGGGTCCAGGATGTAAACTACACATGGCACCCATACCAAACCAGAAATCTCCTCAGAGAAATGGCTCTCAGCTCTTACAAATAATGCTTGCTTCCCCTTACCTCCAGATATCCAGATGTTGGGTCCTGAATGTTGAGTACAGCTGCAATTATTTAGAATCACAGGGCTGGTTCCTGCAATGAATTATGCATGTACTTAGCATTAAGCATGTGAGCAGTCCCGTTGATTTCAATGTGGACACTTATATTCCTCCCTCTTCAGAGAGTTGGTGACTTCCCACCCACTTAATGAAGCTCTGCATTCTTAAGGCTCAGTATCTTCATCTGACAGCCAGATACATAAGTTAGTCCAAAGTCCTATAGGATCTTAAGATTTCCAGGCACAGTACAGTAAGGACCAACATAAAGGTGAGCATATTATTTCTGGAAGAGATGAGGAGAAAGTGAAAAGAAAGGGAAGAGAACAGGCAAAGGAATCAAGGATGGTAAATAAAAAAGGGCTTAGTTGTGCAACAAAAAGGTCCACTGTTATGTTTGTGTAAGGGAATTCAGAAATAAATGACTCCAGCCACAAGTGTGGGAAAGAATGCTGCCAGGTTAGCAAGCATGGAATGTATTGTGAATGTAAAGTAATGCTATGCATTTAGTTCCATTAACAGATTCAACACATTCACTCAAGCCCACAAACTAAATAAGTGTAATGAGAGCTGCCTCTCAGCTCCCCACAGGCCTTTTCTCAGTGGTGGTCAGTACTTTGCCCCTCTGAATCCCCCAGTTTGAAGACCTTGACGATCTCATCAAGTTCAAAAACACAAGATTTGTGAGAGATGCAAGGCTTTTTTTGGTAAATCTTTTATTGGATCAGCGTATAGTTGGGAAAGATGTTGAATGAGCTTTCAGGCATCAGGGACCCTGAGACCTGAGGAAGGGCACCTGATGTCGGAAAGCTTGTCCAACAGCTCTCAGCTATGCAGTTAGTCTGGTAAAAGATATCTAAAAGAGCCTTGTCTCTGTCATATTTTCTGGACCATCCCAGGTACAACAACTCTGGAAAACTACCTCAAATTTTGTGAGCATACAAAATACAGAAAGCCTATATAACAGGAGGTTCTTTGGGGATCCAATCCCAGACCTACATGACTATTTACACAAAGGTACACATTATCTGTGTTTCATCTCCTAGTCCCTATTCCAGGGGAGGCTGGTCCCTATGGTCTTAAAAGCAGAGTTTTGGCAACAATAAAGTGCTCTTTTATAAAGAGGGTTAAGGCAACTATAATTCAGCCCTTCTGAAAGTATTTCCCCTTTAGAGTACACATTATCAGGCTGTTTATCATTTTTCATTAGATAGCTTGAGAGCTTTTCTCCTGGATTTTTAGCAGACTTTCTAAACCTTTTGTATGAGTCCTCTCTAAACCTACTACTCTCAAATACATCTTCTAGTGCACAGTGTTCTAGGATATTCAGTACATATTCTAGTACCTTAGACTCAGGTGCACCGCAAATAAAAGATATTATTGATAGATTCGTAGATTGATAGAAGTTTGGGCCAGAAGGGATGTTAGCAAATGATCGAGTCCAACCCTCTGCACTGGGCAGGAAAGAACACTGGGGTCAGATGACCCCAGCCAGGTGTATGTATGTCTAGCCTCCTTTTAAAGACCCGCAAGGTAGGGAAGAGCACCACCTCCCTTGGAAGCCCATTCCAAATGTTGGCAATTCTTACCGTAAAAAAGTTCTTCCTGATGTCTAACCTAACTCTGCTCTCTGTCAGTTTGTGGCCATTGTTCCTAGTTACTCCAAGGGGTGCCCTGGTAAACAGAGCATCTCCTATTCCTTGCTGTCCCCCCCGATGTAGATGGCCACAAGAGCACCTCTCAGCCTTCTCTTGCAGAGGCTGAAGAGATCCAGGGCACTTAACCTCTCCTCATAGGGCTTTGCTTGCAGGCCCCGAACCATACAAGTGGCCCTCCTCTGAACCCTCTCGAGGTTGTCCATATCCCTCTTGAAGAGTGGCACCCAAAACTAGATAGGTCATCTCGAACTCTTTATCCCCCTCTTCCTTTGCCCCACTTTCCAGGCATCTGTTCCATTACCATGTGAATACCTAGTTCTCTCCATTCTTCAAAACTGTCCTCCCACTGAGGACTTGGCTGACAACCTTTCCAGGCATGTTGCCTTTGGTAAAGGCTGTTCCTATTCTGGGATTGCTTGCATTCCTCCACCACATGTTTCATTACCTAGGAGCTATAAGAAATTGTAAAGGATGCATTGATTGACTAGTGCAGCAGGTACTATGAGCTTTAGTGTGCCTTGACATTAGCCTAGATCCTCTCTTCCTGGGTAAGAACCTTAGCAGGTTTGCTGTGAAATGAGTAGAATGTTATGGACCAAGGTAGTTTCAACTATCTTTTCTTTAACCCCTTCCTTTTAAGGTATGAAGCCATCTTCTGAAATCACCTGCTGAGGTGCAAATCCACTATCATGCTGCTTTGCACTTGCATGTTACAGTGAATTGCTTTAGATCAGAGGTGTAAAGTATTCATCTGGCTTTGACTTCTTCAGAGCACCTAGTTGATTGCAGGACACCAACCAGATAAGCTTCATCAAAGCTAAGACGTATCTTGTTGATGAGGGAGACCTATTCAGAATCTGTCCCTGTTTTTTAGTAGGATTTTGTTAAGTTGGCCTTTTCCATTTTTCTAGACTGAGGATAAAACAAAATGCTGTGCATTCCTGATAAACACAATGCTGGTCCTGAAGTAATAGATGGGGTAACTAAGGAGCTCTGCCCCCCCCCCCCCCCAAAAAAAAAAAAATATCCCAGTGATATCTTCTAGATCCATAAGCATAGTGGACCTCAGGGATCTCTGGGCCTCCTTATAGTAGCTGGTGACTCCATCTAGTAGTCCAGTGCAGAAACCAATACCAAACCACATGACATCTTGGAAATCACAGTTCACATATGCAGCAGGAACAAATAAAAAGTTAAATAATGTGTTATTCCAGGAAAGGGGTAAATTGGAAGGGGAGGAGAACTGACAGTGGAACCAAGGTTGTTAAATAAGCAAGGACCCATCTCAACCCTGCAACCAAAATAAGCCCACAAACAAATTCAATAAAGTGAGAACTTTACATACATTACATGTACTCCTATACATTCAGGAGGCAGGGCTGGAGTTTCATGTGGTATCTCTTGGTAGGAGACTGCCAGCCCTCCCTTCCAGACTCTGGCTTCTTGTGCAGGGAAGGACTACTGCATTCAGCACTGGCTTTCAGTCAGCATGGGCACAGCAAAATACTCCTTATTGTTATGTGTTGTTATTTTTTTTAGCTCTCCCTGTTCATCTCCAGTGCCTTTGTATGTAAGTCAGCATTAACCGTTCTCCCAAGCATATTGAGCAAGATGATTTCAGCTGTCACTTCAGAAGTTCTTGCACCCACATTTGCCTGCCACCTGCTTAGCTGGAAATTCTGATCACAGCCTTCATGTCAACCTAACTTGCAGGACTACAGCATTGAAGGGGGTGGAGTAGAGGAAGCATCCCCATCGGGCACAGAAGGGTACAGGGAAGAAGGAAGGGGAACTGCTCAAAGCAGCTGAACTGCTGCTGCTGTTCCCACCTCCTTGCTCTCTTTCTCTGAGGTTGCTTGAAGTGCTGCTTTGTGCAGCTGTTGTGATTGGCTCCTCTACCCCAGAAAGCGGGCAACAGGAGCAGGCAGCAAATCAAGTAGGGATTTTCAGAAGTTTGCAGGAGGCCAACATGTTTTATGCCATCATGAGATTGGCTTCAGTCCCAGTCTGAATTCTCAGCCAAAACCCAAGTCTTGGCAACACTGCTAGCCTCTTTGCGGGCAGCTCTGTTTGGTCACACTGTTTTTACCAAGGTCAGCTCATAGAGTCAGCCATGTGCAGGCTTTCAGGAGCCTGCTGTTGTTTCCTCAAGCATGCCAACTGGCTTGTGGCCCAGTGCTGACAAGCTGCGTGTTGCTCTCCTGCACCTGGGAAGAGAGCATCTTGGTTGCAGTCAGTCAGTGTTGCTCTTGGAGCTCTGGAGCTCCCCAGCTGGCAGGGAGGCTGTAGCTATATTCTATTTGAATGGCTTCTAAGTGAAAAATCTGGGACCAAATGGAGCCTGAGCACTGTGAAAAGAGCTTCATTTAATCTCTCCTCAAGTGAGAATGGATTTTACCAACTGAGCCCCCTCCTGCAAGTACAAATGTTTGGTTTGATCCTACAATCCCTTCTTAGTCAAAAACTCTCATTACTATTGGGGAAGTTTCAGGGGAGCCAGAATTGTGTGACTGGGCCTGTTGTGAGTTTTGCAATGGGGTATAGACAGTACAGTCTTGAAACAGATCAACCTGCTCTTGGGATGATTGAACCAACGGCTGTGATCCTTGATCTAGCACCAGGGGAGGTTGACATTCACAGAGAGAGTTTGCACAGTGCTCATTAGAAATGGCTTGCTGCATCAGCTGATAGTCTCAATCATTCCTCTAGCTATACCTTGGATAGTATGTTGGACAAAAAGAAACTGGATAAACTGATCCCTTTGGAAATGCCAAAATGCTTGTTCCTGAAGCAGCAGACAAGACCATTTTCCAGACCTGTACTACTTCCACTGTTCAAGCTTGCTTCTGTGTTCTTCAGGGACTCTTTTACAACTGCAAGTTTGTTAGACTTGACCCCCGCAAACCATACACTGCAAGAAATGAGGTTCAGCTAGAAAGGGTTGATGTGAGGTGGTCAGAAACTGAACTTGTGCAAGAAGAAGGAGAAGACTGAAGGCAGCTCTAGACTATTTAGCTGGAATGGGCCAAATGGGGAAACAGAATTATTTAGTTTTAAAGTATACAAATGTTCCCACTCTAGGCCAGATATCCCAAGGCTTAGTACCAAAGGAGCTGGAAGAAAAAGTAGTCCTTGTATTTTCCTGGTTCTGGTGTCAAAATAGAGTGCTGTGGTCCCTACCATAAGTTAAAACATCCTCATGGACATTTGAAGAGTTCATTCCGCCAGTACTGTAGCAAGGTTGGTGCCAGTGGGCACCGTGCATCCTAACAGAAAAGGGTGCCAAATAACATAGAAGTAATGGTACGCAGCAGCACATAACGGGGCACTCTACATATGACCTACATCGGGAATCAAAGTTTGAATTTTTGGCTTGTAGAGATGGTCTGGCCGTCCCTTCTCTCTCTCAGGAATATTCCAGTGGCTCCCAGGCAGAATGGGGGTGGACAAGCAAGAAGGGAAGTTTACTGCTAAAACTGGGTTTGATATATTTTGAATTAGTTCTTCAAATAAATTTTGCTTTTTATAGTTAGTTTCATATCAGCATCTGAAGACCCCTAATGACTGCCATCTGTAGAGGCAAAATAATAGATACAGCAGATGACTTGGTCAAGCCACAGCAGTGCTGCACACTTGCAATGCTTCATTGTGTGCACTGAATTAGATGTGTTTCTCACTGCAGCATCTTTCAGATATATCTGTTGTTTCTAGCACCTCTTTGCCTACACAGTGTACCATTTAGTCACGTTGGACTTTTGCAGTTTCTGAGAATAAAGCCTTGTGCCACCCCTCTTCTGTGGATTCTCTCTCAACCAGTGCTGCTACAGAGGATCATGTGTCCATGGGAGGATGGGCTGCAAGAAAAGCCTTGAGAGTTATTGAACATGTTGAACAAGGTAAAATTGAGACCTGATTGTACAGAGATCTTTTGTATCGTAACTGGATTAAAACTAAGAATGATTCCTTCTAAATGTCATTATTTTAAACAAGTAGACACTTTGGTAATGCCAAAAATGTTTTTAAGGTAAGTTCTTAAATAGTTAGTTCTACTCAAATCTCTTTCTAACAGATATGATTCAGGTGAATTGCATTGAAACAGAACTACTTAATAATATGACAGTCAGCCAACATTTTTCCATTCTTCATTAATTAGAGATTAAAATGGCATCTTTTGACGGTAAAAATTTTAGTTGTTGCTGGAAAGACATTAACAATATATAGCACAAAAACAGCATATGTACCTTGGCTTATATAGGTTTACACCAATGGGTGCTTCAGCAGTCAGATTCTATAAAATACAAAATATTGTTTGACATGCTCAGGAAAGTGAATGTGCAACTGAAGAATACAATATTTCTTTGATAAAGTTTTCCTTAGATTAATTTGGCCCTTATGAATGTGAGGGATTCATTCCACTAGTTAGTCAGGTGAGAGAAGGACAGAGGCTGTGCAATTTTTTCCAGTACACATTTGTTTGAAAACTCTTTTCATGCTGCCAAAGAGCTCTGTGAAGTGGGCACAAAGGAACTCCAGACCTGAACCCCCAAGTTCCCTTGAGCGTTTTAAACCTGGATCTGACTTTTACAGCTTAGGCCCATCTCCATATTTCATCTGGCCTTAAGGCTGCCTCTGTTATTGGGTGTTGAAACAGAGATAATTTGAGAGGTATTTTTAGGAGCAGTAAGCATCTATCACAGCTAAGTACAAAAGGAACTGTGACTGCCTAGCACCTGGAAGAATCACACTTAACATCTCTGAGCATCCAAATAAGAGACTATTTAAAAGTGCTGGACTTTTGCCTCTGTTTTCCTGTTTGTAAATAGGCCTCTTATCTGGCTGCCTTCCCCAGTATGCCACATGGATCAATTAGTATTTGCATAGCACTGAAGAGGTGAGGACCTAAGTATGATCAATAATCATACCACACTCCAATTAGAAATGTTCTTCAACTGTAAACTCGTAATGAATTGTACATCCTGAAAATCTCTGTCCTACCTTTCGCTGTTTGGTTTCCTAGTGTTGGCAATTGAACTTCTTGCAGCCTGCCAGGGCATTGAGTTTCTACGCCCCTTGAAAACAACTACCCCATTGGAGAAAGTCTATAACCTTGTGCACTCTGTTGTAAGGTACCATCAAATAAATGTTTCCCAGAGGTTACAGTTTTGAAGCCCTGCTAACTTTGGTGGTGGTTAATGTTTGGCCAATGTTCTCAACTTGTCTCCTTTCAGGCCTTGGATGAAGGATCGCTTCATGGCTCCAGACATTGAGGTGACTCACAGGCTCCTTGTAGACCAAGAGGCATGTGTTGATATTCGGCATTTGTACAATAGAATTGATCCTTTAGGAAGGACCGTGCCATTTTCCCTTTAAAATGTCCCTCAGTGTTATCTTTCACAGAAAGAAGAGTATTCTTACCCTTCCATGTGCAGTTTTGTTACCAGATCTTCTGAAGAAAACATATGGAGATTGTTTGGGTTAGAGCAGTGATTTTCAACCACAGTGCCATAGCACCTGAGGGTGCTGAGAGATCCTTTTAAGGGAGACACAATTCCTCACAATATTAATAGTGCTAGGTGTGCCAATGGCTAATGGTGTTTCAGCAGTCAGATTCTATAAAATACAAAATATTGTTTGACATGCTCAGGAAAGTGAATGTGCAACTGAAGAATACAATATTTCTTTGATAAAGTTTTCCTTAGATTAATTTGGCCCTTATGAATGTGAGGGATTCATTCCACTAGTTAGTCAGGTGAGAGAAGGACAGAGGCTGGGCAATTTTTTCCAGTACACATTTGTTTGAAAACTCTTTTCATGCTGCCAAAGAGCTCTGAGAAGTGGGCACAAAGGAACTCCAGACCTGAACCCCCAAGTTCCCTTGAGCGTTTTAAACCTGGATCTGACTTTTACAGCTTAGGCCCATCTCCATATTTCATCTGGCCTTAAGGCTGCCTCTGTTATTGGGTGTTGAAACAGAGATAATTTGAGAGGTATTTTTAGGAGCAGTAAGCATCTATCACAGCTAAGTACAAAAGGAACTGTGACTGCCTAGCACCTGGAAGAATCACACTTAACATCTCTGAGCATCCAAATAAGAGACTATTTAAAAGTGCTGGACTTTTGCCTCTGTTTTCCTGTTTGTAAATAGGCCTCTTATCTGGCTGCCTTCCCCAGTATGCCACATGGATCAATTAGTATTTGCATAGCACTGAAGAGGTGAGGGCCTAAGTATGATCAATAATCATACCACACTCCAATTAGAAATGTTCTTCAACTGTAAACTCGTAATGAATTGTACATCCTGAAAATCTCTGTCCTACCTTTCACTGTTTGGCTTCCTAGTGTTGGCAATTGAACTTCTTGCAGCCTGCCAGGGCATTGAGTTTCTACGCCCCTTGAAAACAACTACCCCATTGGAGAAAGTCTATGACCTTGTGCGCTCTGTTGTAAGGTAACATTAAATAAATGTTTCCCAGAGGTTACAGTTTTGAAGCCCTGCTAACTTTGGTGGTGGTTAATGTTTGGCCAATGTTCTCAACTTGTCTCCTTTCAGGCCTTGGATGAAGGATCGCTTCATGGCTCCAGACATTGAGGTGACTCACAGGCTCCTTGTAGACCAAGAGGCATGTGTTGATATTCGGCATTTGTACAATAGAATTGATCCTTTAGGAAGGACCGTGCCATTTTCCCTTTAAAATGTCCCTCAGTGTTATCTTTCACAGAAAGAAGAGTATTCTTACCCTTCCATGTGCAGTTTTGTTACCAGATCTTCTGAAGAAAACATATGGAGATTGTTTGGGTTAGAGCAGTGATTTTCAACCACAGTGCCATAGCACCTGAGGGTGCTGAGAGATCCTTTTAAGGGAGACACAATTCCTCACAATATTAATAGTGCTAGGTGTGCCAATGGCTAATGGTGTTAGGATTGACAAGATCAACTCCAGTATTTTAAATAGGAATCTATAGTGTCAAAAACATTTTGGATCTGCTGTGGTCTTTCTGAGTTCTTTGCAACAGAAGAATTGCTTTATTATTTTTCAGTAGCCAAGAAAACAAGTGAACGAGCTGGCAAGTGAAAGAGGGTGCCTTGAATATAAAAAGATTGAGAACCACTGGCTTGAAGTTTTAAAGTGACACGTACATTTAAAATGATATATTAAGAAACACATTTCCTCAATTGTTTTCTTAAGAATGGCTTAGATAACAGAACTTTACAGATAAAGATCGAAACTCAGTTTTTAAACTTCCGGATGGCAGGCCCTACATCCATGCCAAACTCAACTGAAGACAGCAAGACTCTGGGTGCTGGTCAGGCAGAGTGGATCCACTCTTCTCATTGTTTTTGTGGGTCCAGAATCAGGGAATAGGAAGGAAAGAAGGACAGTCCTATCCTCAGCATGAGAATGAAGAGGAAAAAGCATTTACTGGGACATCTATTAACACAGGCCAGCTGTTTGGGTTTTTTATACTATTAAAATAAAAATCAGAAGAATTAGAAAGAGAAGTAGGTACTGATCAGACTCTTTGCAACCCTATAGACTCTAACAATCTACCTTTCTCACAGTCTTAGAGGAGTCAAGGGGAAAAAGGGAAAACCTTTCAACTTCTAGTTTCTCTTGTAAATTCCACTCCAGCATCTTCTCATATCTGCTACCAACAGCAATGCTTTCCTTCTTCTCTGGCATCCACCCACTCATTCTAAACAACTTTCGCTGCTTGTGTGATGAGGGTGATTTCCAGTAAGGCATCCCTAATATCCCTTATCTCTCCTACTTCATCATCATCTTCATCATTTGGGCCACCAGAGAAGGTGCAGATCTCCAAAGTGACAACACTAATCCTGCCTCTCTGGGGCAGTGGTCATTTCTTGTCCCCTCATACTTGTGCTCACGTGTCTCAAATAAATCTCCAGTCACCATCTCAGAACTTTTGCCTATTTCTGGGGTTCACATGCTTATTTATAACTTCTGGTTATTCCCCTGTACTGGTTGCAGGGAGGTTTCTAAACTTGTGTATTGACATCTAAGTAGAAATATGAAGTCACTCAGTCTGTATTCCTGACTGTCATTTCTCTTTCTGTCCTGTAGGTTTGGAAAGTAGCTGAACCTTACATTGAGAAATACAAAAGAGAACATATTCCTGAATCAAGACCCACTTCACCTACAGCTTTTTCCTTGGGTTCCTTGATGGTAAATGATAAATGTGTTGAGCAGGAGGATAATGATGTTCAGGAAAAGCTTTAAACATTCAGTTAAGTCTGATATAGAGAAACATTCCTTCCAATGCTTCCTTTGAGGGACATTATTTCATGCCCCCAGAAAAATCATATTTATGTCAACGAATTGATTGAAAATCTGTGGATGACTGAGAAATTATTTGCCAGTTTCCCCACCTGTAATAAAGCAGTGTGGCGTTATAGAGTGGTTTAAGTTGAATAGGACGTATTGCAACAACAAAACTTAAAACGGTTGGCTAAATTAAAACATATTTGTAAAACTGATGATTTCAGGGGACTTGCATCTACCTGTTCCAGCTCTGAATTTGGACAAATGAGATTAAAGATGGTACAATTGGTTTCAGTAGCAATATGCCAAACCCTACAGTACTTGCCTGGGTAAAACTTCTGTGAAAGTCAATGGGATCTTAGTTGAAGTGCTGTGTGATTTGGGTTAATGCTTTTATTTACTATGTATAAATATAGGTGGAACACACTTCTTCATATTATGTAGTTGGTAACTATAATTGCAGAATTTTATTGGGTTACCACTTTCTTACTGATTGAATGTTATTTAAATAAAAATAAGTTCTTCCTGTGAATAAACCTAGTTATTTTTGTAATTTGCTCACGTGCTGCAGTTGGTATAATACAGTTTTTTCATTCCAGGGCTTTGCAGGTGGAGAAAGCCAAATTGCTTAATACTTTACCCTACTGAAAATTAAAAAAGGATATTTTAAGCAAGTAATTTGATTTTGGTTTTGATTCTGTTCATCTTAAACAGAATTGTGTCACCCTTCAGGAATGGATATACTTTTTGTTTCTTTTTCTATTCTCATTGATGTCAGTATAATTGAGGATTGGAACCAAGCGACCTCAATTTCATACTTCAGTCGATCTGGATGGTCCCACTCTTGGGTCAGCGGCCTTTCTGACATTCTGCATTCCAACAGGACCAGAGTTCTTCTTGGTTACCTTTATCCCTATCTGTTTTACATCTCTCTCAAACATAGTGCTGATTAAGTGGAAGTTAAATACTATGTTTACTCAAATACAAGACCAGGATTTTTGTCCAATCAGCATGGGGGAAAAAAGACCCTTGCCTTACATTCACATATAAGGAAACTTTATTAACTAGATTGTCTAGCATTAAACTGCTGCCAAAAGCAGCATGTGCTCAGTAAATGGAAACCGACTATGAAGCTGATTAAATGCAGCCAACACTGAGCATGATTATAAAACACACGACCCACATTTGGCAAATATGGATGGAAACCTACCGCAATGCCAGGTGAGTGCTTCTGAATAAGATATAGAATAGTGTCCATTAAGCACAGTCCCCTTAACTGCCAATTCTTTTTCAAAGCATGGAGAGCCACTACATTGCATACACTTTGACTTCCTCTTCATTCTCACAGCTGAGCTATGCCTTTCTTTCCCATTTCCAATGATTCCTGTTCCTTCACCATCCTTAAATGTCTGGCAAATGTCACCGTATGGGGTCCCAAACAGTTCACCCCAAATCGCTCTGTTGCCCCCTCTCTCAGCCTGTTGCATATGATTCATGTGGCCCTGCCTTCCATGAGATGAAGCCAGACCAAGTTGTCTTGTGTCTCATCTGCATATACATTTTTGGAGCATCCCAGGAATCATGACAAGAACACTCTGTTGCAGTCATGAGTCAGGGTCTAATTAGCACATGCATGCTTTGTAGGGGATATCTGCAGTACACACACATATTGAGCAGTTCTGAGCTGTGGAGACCACCTTGACTTGAAATGCTGTTGACTCTGCTGGGGTCCGGCCCACTTAACTATATGGTAAATCATGAGCTTTTTGGTTTTGAACTAATATGCATAGTTCGCACTATATGGGGAAGTGGTGTTACCACTAAGGCAGTGTTTTTAGTTGCACTTGGGTATAACTGTTTTTCTGGCATCGGGTACTACCTGCAGAGGTAATGTATTCTTAATCTTCCACTTGCTGCTGGAGTGGGAAGATCCTGGCTTTATGCCCACTTTATGGAAATAGGAGGCACTTCTCCAGCTTGCTCCTGCACCCTTATGCCTGAGGGCAAGCAAAACTTGGGGGCATCCAAACCCTGAGCTTCCAGGCTTGGTCCTGCACATAGGATTCCTGCCAAAGGATTTGGAAACATCTGAAGACCCAGGTGTGGCAGAGGATATTTGCCAGTAGTAGGGCCACTTGTGGTTCTGGGTCGACTCAGGTTTGGAATTGATTTGGCTTGGAACACAAAACATCCCCACCCCACCCCCTAACAAAGTTTGTACTATATATAAGTAGGTGCCAAAGTGCTGCTTATATAAATGTGTTTATGGAGCACCTGTGCTAAAACTTGCAGCAGTTTCCCAAAAAGGTAACATTCATCAATTCTGCATGAACTAAGTCTATAGGCAGTACATTCAAACTACTACACCTATGTTTAGTTTCAAGGTCAGTGGCTGCATCTACACGAGAAGCTTGTTACTACTGCGCAGTAGCATCATGTGGCAGAAAGCATGACATGATGCTATTGCACACTAGAAATGAGCTACTGCACAATCAGCCTGACCTAGAAGCCATTCAGTGATATTATTGCGCAGTAACTCTGGTTACTGCTCAGTCACTTAGTGCTTGTGTAAACAAGTACTAAATGACTGCATTGTAATGACTGAGCAGTCAGTGTCTCATGTAGACGTGGCCAGTGTTTTCAAATTTGCTTCTCACTTCTATGGACACAGGGAAAGCAGGGTCTGAGAGCAAGAAGTGAAGGAAGAGGCTGCAGGGGAAAGAAGATGGGGGAAGGCAGAGGGCAAAGGGGACACCTGAAACACCCCCAGATTTATTTTTGCTGCTGTAGCAGTGGGATGGAGACAAATTCAAGGCAAACCTCCAATAACTAGATTTTATACCTGTAAAATTATAATAAATTAAAAATTTTCCTAATGTAGAATTTAATTATTGGGGGGGCTTGTCCTATAATCAAAGTAATTTTATGTTTGAGTAAATGCAGTATTTCTATTATAGTGGCAGCACCTTCAAACATCAGCAAAACTGAACTGGTAATGATATGAAATGCTGTGATGTTAACAATGAGATAAACTCAATTCACATTGTAAAGGAAATACAGCTAAAACAAATATAGAAAAGGTCAGGGTCAATTTTCATGTGCCTCTGTATATGTGCCACTTTATTTTATGTTACAATGAAAATTGAAAGCAAAAGATCAGTTCAGAAAAAGTGGAAGGAGGGTGGGCAGCTTAAGGTTTGGGAATGCTATGGAAAGGGGAGCTGAACTGTAAGAAAAGGGGGCTTGGACCACCTATGGTTTTTAGAGGACACAGATTTTAAATTCCATGGTTCATCAGATATCTGCAGGGAGTAAGTAGGGTTCCATACACTGTTCAGGAGGTCAGGATGTAAAGGGTATGACTATTTTGCCAGCACTGTACAGTAACTCCAGGCCATGTCGACATGCCCAAACCCATTTTAAACTGGCAAGTACAGGGGTAATAGCAGGCGCGCTGCAGTGGTGGTGGTGGTGGGAGGAGTGGGTCTGGGCCCCCACGCAGGGGGGGAGGAGGCTTGAGCCCGAACTGGGAGAGAAGCTGGGCCAATGCAGCAGGGGGAGCAGTGGGCCTGGGCTGACCCAATGGTGGCAGTAGCGGTGGTGGGGGAGGGAGCAGTGGGCTCGGAGCCAACCGGGGCGGGGAGGGGGAGGAGTAGGCCCAGGCCCAAGGCGGGAAGAAGGCTTGCTACTCTTCTCCCCCAGCATGCCAAACTCAACTGAAGACAGCAAGACTCTGGGTGCTGGTCAGGCAGAGTGGATCCACTCTTCTCATTGTTTTTGTGGGTCCAGAATCAGGGAATAGGAAGGAAAGAAGGACAGTCCTATCCTCAGCATGAGAATGAAGAGGAAAAAGCATTTACTGGGACATCTATTAACACAGGCCAGCTGTTTGGGTTTTTTATACTATTAAAATAAAAATCAGAAGAATTAGAAAGAGAAGTAGGTACTGATCAGACTCTTTGCAACCCTATAGACTCTAACAATCTACCTTTCTCACAGTCTTAGAGGAGTCAAGGGGAAAAAGGGAAAACCTTTCAACTTCTAGTTTCTCTTGTAAATTCCACTCCAGCATCTTCTCATATCTGCTACCAACAGCAATGCTTTCCTTCTTCTCTGGCATCCACCCACTCATTCTAAACAACTTTCGCTGCTTGTGTGATGAGGGTGATTTCCAGTAAGGCATCCCTAATATCCCTTATCTCTCCTACTTCATCATCATCTTCATCATTTGGGCCACCAGAGAAGGTGCAGATCTCCAAAGTGACAACACTAATCCTGCCTCTCTGGGGCAGTGGTCATTTCTTGTCCCCTCATACTTGTGCTCACGTGTCTCAAATAAATCTCCAGTCACCATCTCAGAACTTTTGCCTATTTCTGGGGTTCACATGCTTATTTATAACTTCTGGTTATTCCCCTGTACTGGTTGCAGGGAGGTTTCTAAACTTGTGTATTGACATCTAAGTAGAAATATGAAGTCACTCAGTCTGTATTCCTGACTGTCATTTCTCTTTCTGTCCTGTAGGTTTGGAAAGTAGCTGAACCTTACATTGAGAAATACAAAAGAGAACATATTCCTGAATCAAGACCCACTTCACCTACAGCTTTTTCCTTGGGTTCCTTGATGGTAAATGATAAATGTGTTGAGCAGGAGGATAATGATGTTCAGGAAAAGCTTTAAACATTCAGTTAAGTCTGATATAGAGAAACATTCCTTCCAATGCTTCCTTTGAGGGACATTATTTCATGCCCCCAGAAAAATCATATTTATGTCAACGAATTGATTGAAAATCTGTGGATGACTGAGAAATTATTTGCCAGTTTCCCCACCTGTAATAAAGCAGTGTGGCGTTATAGAGTGGTTTAAGTTGAATAGGACGTATTGCAACAACAAAACTTAAAACGGTTGGCTAAATTAAAACATATTTGTAAAACTGATGATTTCAGGGGACTTGCATCTACCTGTTCCAGCTCTGAATTTGGACAAATGAGATTAAAGATGGTACAATTGGTTTCAGTAGCAATATGCCAAACCCTACAGTACTTGCCTGGGTAAAACTTCTGTGAAAGTCAATGGGATCTTAGTTGAAGTGCTGTGTGATTTGGGTTAATGCTTTTATTTACTATGTATAAATATAGGTGGAACACACTTCTTCATATTATGTAGTTGGTAACTATAATTGCAGAATTTTATTGGGTTACCACTTTCTTACTGATTGAATGTTATTTAAATAAAAATAAGTTCTTCCTGTGAATAAACCTAGTTATTTTTGTAATTTGCTCACGTGCTGCAGTTGGTATAATACAGTTTTTTCATTCCAGGGCTTTGCAGGTGGAGAAAGCCAAATTGCTTAATACTTTACCCTACTGAAAATTAAAAAAGGATATTTTAAGCAAGTAATTTGATTTTGGTTTTGATTCTGTTCATCTTAAACAGAATTGTGTCACCCTTCAGGAATGGATATACTTTTTGTTTCTTTTTCTATTCTCATTGATGTCAGTATAATTGAGGATTGGAACCAAGCGACCTCAATT